AAGATCCTACATCAGGTTCTATTCCAACCGTGCGGAGGCGTGTCACTGTCGTCAGAGCAACCTCCTTGATGATATCAAGGGGAGTGAGACTAAGAATGACTTCCATGGCTCTGGTCGGTGTTGTTTTCATGGCTCCTGTTATGTTGAGACATGCTGTTCTTTGAATTTGTTCTAGTTTACGGATAGATGTTAATTTTTGGGTTTTTGATACCCAGACAACTGCACCGTATGTTAGCATAGGTCTTATGATAGCCGTGTAAGTCCATACGAGGGAGAGAAACCCCAGATGCGCCCCACGGTTCGGGGGGCATTGTTCATAAGCAATGTATGCTCTTTTGACTTTTCTAAATGCGAGTTCCATGTCAACTTAATGTCAAAGGTGAGACCTAGGACCATTTCTGTCTTCTTAGGATTGATAGTCAGTGAATGGTTCTTGCACTACTTTCGCAGAGTATGTTCTCAAAATTTCCTGTTTGCAGAATGACCAGGTCATCTGCATATGCTATTGTGTAGTGACTGTCACTCAATACTTTGGGATGTTATTCGCGGTTGCCAAACTTCAATATTCGCTGATTCATGCTTGATTGACATGTCTTCTTCAAGCTGTCCTTTGCTATCTCATCTACAAATGCTACTAAAGTATGTCTTAATGAAACAGAAAATACACATTCTTTTGGCAGATCACGAAGTTGTCAGTGACTCCTTCATCCTCTTATATATCATTAATATATACCAAAATAAAGGTTCTGGTCAAAAAATAAAACACAGTTTCTTTTATATTTTTTCCCTACAATTGAATGGTGCAATTAGTTTTTTATTTTTAAATAAATTATACCAATAATTAAGGAATAATTCATTGTTGCTATTTTTTTGTTTTTATCCATTTTTGAGCATGCTTTTTAATCGTGACTATAATTTTTATTTTATCAAAAATTACGTGTCGAAACGAAAAAAATAAGCACCTGAAGATCTTTGTACGATAATTTTTCATCGTAAAATTTCTTTATCGAAAATTTTGAGGTTATATATTAAGTTAAAAAGCTGTAAATTTTTCCTTGATCTACAACTTTCGCATTATAAATTTTTGTTATTTACTTTCGCTGGAATTCGCGAATAGTATATTATATTACGAGTGTGGAAAGAGACATTTTCCACACGAGTAGGAAATATTGTCGCACGAGGCATAAGCCGAGTGGGAAATATTGCCGCACGAGGCATAAGCCGAGTGCAAAAATCATGCGAGGGCGAAAATCACTTTCACACAAGTGATGTATAATATTTTTCTTACGACCACAAAATAATTTTATCCAAAAAAATGTAAACTAGGAAATCTGACTTTAAAAATTCCATCAAGATGTGGCTGGATTTAGACTAGTTTTTCATAAGCCTTACTGATTAATTTTTAAAGCATTTTACAGAAAGTGTTTTGTCAAAATTGAAAATATTGTGATTCCATTTACAAACAATTTCATAGGATAAAGATACAATAACATTAGGTACCAAAAAATATTAGAATACATACATTCATATTTTTCAATGGTTTATTTTTTTTAAACAAATAAGTTGAACAGCCGTGAACAAAAACTTTTTTATTATTAATAATTGAAATAGTTGATAATAAACAGCGAAAATAATATTGTAGGGGTTATATTATGATAAATAATATGCATTTTAAATTTTATCAATCAACAATAGTCATATTTTTCCAATTTTCATATTTTTTCAAAAAAAAAAAAAAAAAAGAATTCACCGGGAATTGCGATAGGTGTCACTTTCCTAAGTAGTCGTAGGAAAATACCATTTTTCCCCGCTATTCAATCCCCTAAAACTTTACATCAATCCCTCCAGGTTGCATATTTTTTTTTATTTGTTATAAGCCCCTCTACCATTTTACACGTATCAAAGTCCTGTTAACAATTTTTTTCTCAAAGTTTAATTTGTTTGGACTATTTGTCACGGGCTCTGGGTGTATAATCAGTAATATTCCCTGGATATGATGTAGTCGACTAAAAAGCGTTCCGAAAAATTGACAAAGTATGAATTCACCTTTGACGTCAAACGTTAATAATGGCAAACGCTTTTATTACAATTGAAATAAGAAAACTCGTGAAAATAGTACCTAAAAAATTATATGCAGGGTGCTCAGAATCTAACCCTATTACATATACACCAAAATGCTATACTATCTTACCTTAAAATTCATACTATACTGGCATTCTGGCTAAATTTAATTCAATCTGTTTCTATTTAACCCTACCTGCAGGTATCGACGGAATACCTCCCTTTATTTTCAAAGGTTGTTATGAATAGTTGAAACAACATATTTTTAACCTAGCCTTTATCAACAAAGGTTTTCCTACCAATATAGAAAATTTCTACAACTATGCCAATTCATAAAACTGGGAATTAAGTGGACAGAAAACTATAGACCTATTTCGGTTATGAGTGCTCTAGCTAAGCTATTAGAACAAATTATATACACAGTGCTCTACCACCATGTTGAAAAATAAATAATCACTCAGAGCAGGGCAGAGTACTGCGTTAAAGTACTCATGAGTACTTTAGAATGAGTAGATTTACAAAGTATCTCAGTATGAGTAATAATACTCAAAGCAAATGTGTACTTTTGCAAATTTTAGGGAGTATTCGTGAAAAAATCGAGTAACGAGTATAAGTACCGTACCTATTTTAAATAGTGACTCAAGTTTAGAAAAAATGAGAGAAACAAAATACTCGTCTTCTATAAATTAGTTCGCACTTACCATTAACTTTTCATATATTTTAAAACATATAATGTTGCCATGGTATCCGTCATTTGGCATATTATTTAGAATTGCCTTAAGGTTGTGACTGTGATGGTAGTGGGATTTTGAAAATTAATGGAATTGTCAAATATATTTTGGAAAGATTGATAGAGTTTTAAATTGTCAGTTGGGAAATTAAAAAAAAAGGTCAGAAAATATATTGAAGTTAAGATAGATATTAAAGTAGAAGATTTCATACCGTAGAGATGAAATAAAAAAAAAATAAGAAAGAAAAAAAAATGAAACAAGTTTTATTTAAATTAAAGACAAGTGTGAATGGAATAGGAAGGAGAACCTAGCAGAAAACAAAATTCGTCAGAAGGAATAGTAAGAGAAGAAAGTAGAGGAAAACAGCAAGAGAAGAACTGGCAGAAGAACAGGGAGCAAGAAACAAGAAGCGAAGCGGAAGATTTAGATTTTTTTCAAATTCAGCAATAACCCTAAAAGCTCTAAGATATTGGAATGGTTTAACCTTACCAAGATGGAATCATTATAATATATATGCTCGCGTCGATACTCGTACTCGTTACTCGTCAGCTGAAGGAATAAAAAGTACTGAATATTCTAAAATACAAAGTACTCACGAGTACCAATTACCGAGTACTTTAACTACTCGAGTATTGCCTAGCTCTGTACCACTATATTTTATATGTCATTGATTGAAATAAATTTTTGCAATTTGAAAAGTCTAGTTACCGTTAAGTGCATTCAATTATTATAAGTGATAGCACCTGATGAGGCAAACTATGATGTAGTGCAGGATGATAATAAAGCTCCTATCAGTTATTATGAGTAGTAATGGAGGAACTAACAACAATTACATGACTAAGTACAAGTTGTTTAGAAGATATATTAGTATTAGGTCATATCTTAACGGCAAATTTCCCAGTCGTTAAGCCAATTCTCGAAAAGGAAATAATAAAAATATAAAATTTATGCTCGATTCAAATACAATTGCAATATTAAAAAACCTGTATCTAGGCAAATATTCGCAATAAAAATCGTTTAATGAAACGAAATTACATTTTTATGTAATCTACTGAGAAAAATAAAGGAAGCTTTGCAAAAGAGAATTATTAAATTGAGAAATATTAACATTTTTGCGGCACATTTTTTTTTTTGTATGAAGCGAGGAACTCGTATTACCTGCTTGAATTCATTTTTGATTTTTGCATTGAACTATTATTATTGAGGTACTCTATTAACATATTGTCACAAACAAGCACACCAATGTATAAACAAACTAAAGCACATATTGAATTTCAGCCTTGTAATTATGGTTCAGTTATTTGAGCATTTAAGTAGACAGCAAAACCAAAATGGCAATGTATAATTTAAACTAAAACAGTGTTTTCATCAATATCTATTAATGTAGGGAAAGCTGAACACTATAACAAACAACGAAAACTAGGATTCAAAGGAAATATATGAAAAATATTTAATTAAGAAGAATAAATGGATATAATGACATAAGAATTAATCGTTCAAGCATAAATCAAAGATGTAAGCTTTTTCAAGTTTTTTTTTGAGAATTGACAAATTCGTGATTATACCGAGTTTGTAAATATGTTTGTGTCACTGTGTATTTTGCAACAACCAAACACTTTTTAGTTTTATCTACATTTTCGTTGCCACGTACTTCAGAATGTCCAAACAAAGTAAACATACTTTTTGCTAGTGTACACAAAAGTGGTTTATCTCCGTAATCTATGATTATAAAATTTGGTAGCTGATCCTTCAGCACACTCAGTTATTGATTAAGTCAGAAATTATGGCTTGGAAGTAGTTTTTACAACTATTCTATATATATAGAGTGATTCAGGGGGAAAGTTCTTGATCGAAGTAGTATGTTACAGTTATTTAAAAATACTCATTAAACCCACTACTTCGATATACATAATTGAAGATATTAACAAATATTGTGCAATATTTCAAATGAAGTGGCACACATTCGACTAATTCAGAATAACTAGGAGTTAAGAAAGATATCTCTGTAGGCCTCCCTCTAGTGGTATTTCTGTTAGGCAGAACATAGTATTGAATTTTTAGAATTAAGCTACAGAAACGTTCCCTGAAAAAATTGCATGCAAATTAATCAAAGTTGGTTATTTATTAAAGCCTCCTCGTAGTTTTATGAAAGCTGAAAAATTCACTGGCACTGATGCTAGTAAAAGAGAAATTGAAATAAGTCCTTACCTGAATGTAAGCCAAGATGTTCTGATCAGATGGCCTGTCGGTGATAAGAAATTTGAAACCTTTGTATTCAATCTCAGCTGGAGCTGGTCTGATGTCCTTTTGACGCATTGCTACGGCTAATCCTTGTCCTTGAGAGTTATGATTCATACCCCGTAGTACACGAGTTAACTTTAATATCACGCTATTTTAGAAGACCGACTTGAAGATCTCCAAAAAAAAATTTTAAAATAAAAAAATTAAGACAAAAGATCAGTCTTTTTTTAAAGAAAGTTACTGTTTTTGTTTTGACTCTGTTATTTATTTACACTAAATTGATATGCTTTAGCAAAAATTTAAAGGAAGAACGCAACCAAAATATCTGTTAGTGCTGTATGACAGGATTACATATGACGAACTAATTTATTTTGGCTTCTGATGATGAGGTATCGCAGATGAGAGCAGTGTTGAAAATGACTACAATGTTCGGTGATAGCAGCCTTCGTTTACCAGTTTATTTGTGTTGAGCTTGGCAATATTCTGCGCTATCCAAATGGAACTCCATGTATGCGAGCACTGTCTCACCAAAATACTGAAAATAAAAACAGAATGCACGTTTTACTACTACACAATACCATTAAAATCTGTCTTGTACTCATCAGAGATAAAATATGACGCCAATTTACTGATAACTCTAATTTAAATATCTTGTATTCGAATACAGTTCTTATTCCACAATCGTGTAAACCAAAGTCCTATCTAAAGATACTACAGGAAGTTTTTAACATTCTTTGTAAATCGTTGGGGCCCTAATCCTCTGTTACCTACTTTTTGTTTACTCAGGCTGTACTGAGGCTGTATTAGAAAATTTTAAAACAATTGTGTGTCTTCAAATGATTTAGAGATTTTCCAGCATTATTTGGTATATTCGCTGTTTGTTAAAATATTAGAAATGTTTTTACATAAAAGTTAATAAGAATCGGACCCAAAACCGATCCCAGAGGTACAGCTATTTATGTGATTAGATAAATCGTAAAATGCAAAACTAATAAACATATGGACAAGATAAATAATAATAATAATACTCTCCCTAATTCACCCCCTTACGAGTGAATTTTAACCCTAAAAGCTGAGCTTGTGCGGGGAAAGGGACGGCTATTATTATTATTATTATTTGCCGTGGCGCTCCGGGGCGACTTAAAGATGATTGATGGTGCCATTTGACTTACAGGTGAGGAAAACCCGGAAAACCTTACTCACCATCATCGAGACGGTAATGCATGGCGATTTTATAATCTGCATGTCATATCAACAGAAATTGAATTTCTATTAATACGGCACACATCAAATCCTATACCGAACCATGCAATTTAATTAAAAATCCACATGGTCTGAACTGGGATTCGAAGCCCGGCAGTCTCGGACTATAAACTTGCCTATAAATGAATATAAGCGCGTTAGACTGATACACCACCGACCCGATGTGAATGAAAGTGAATATAGGGAACCCGACCCCTTTCGATTTTGCTGAAATTTCTTTTTCTACCCCAATAAAAATGTTTCTCAGAAATTTTTCAAAATTTTCACCCAACCCAAAATATCATTCTTAAACATTTTTGTAAATATAATTTCTAAATGTATTTTCACAAAAAAAATTGTTTCATGAAATTTTTCAGTTTTTAGAGGAAAACCAACCAACATTTTTAATTTTATTTCTTTTTTTTTTAAACTCTGCAGTTAATTATTGCCCTACCCAGAGTGGGCTGACATTTTGTTATTGATTTTTTTTATTTTGCCTCAATCTAACTTTGTTTTCATAATAAATTAAATTTAAATAAATATATTTATAATAATAAAAATAAGAATAAAGTCCGTATTACAGAAACATCGACCGTTTCCTTCCTGAAAACAACTACTCCTTTGGCTAATATCGTAACATGCAGCATTATATCAGATTTTCTATTTTTCCTTTGTTTTTATTATTATAGATATATTTATTTAAATTAAACTTATTATAAAAACAAAGATTTTTTTCCGAAACTACATTCAAAAATGAATATTTATATAAAAAAAACGTCACATTTAGTCAAATTTGAAAAAGTTATAAGTATTTGAAAAGTAGAGCCATTTTTTTGAAAAAAACTTATTTTGAGTTAGGTGAAAAAAATTAAATAATTCTGAGGAACGTTTTTAGTGGGGTACAAAATAATAAAAAAGTTTTAGTCAAATCGAAAGGGGTGGGGTTCAAAAGTAGTCGATTTGGCGTAGAATGTCCCATAGAATAAAACCAAAGTGATGATGCCGCGAGACGAGAGATTCTCGTCTCTAGTCTCGTCTCGACGAGAGAGACATTTTCTCTCGAAAAAATATTGGAGACGAGAGAGTGTCATCTCTCGACGAGAATTTCTCGTTTCTCTCGAGCTCGTTCGACGAGAATTTCTCGTTTCTCTCGAGCAATTTACTTCTTCAAGAAAAGAATAAAACCTCAAAATCACTTTTTGTTTATTTGAAATTGCTTATCGTAATTTAAAATTTAAACATATCAGATTTCCAGATAGTCAAAACGTTAACTATAATACAAATATTACCTGTAATTTTATTTTATCAATAGCGATTTATAAGAAAAAATATTTTCCATGTCATTTATTTAAAATTAGTTTTAATTGGAAGCTGGAAGAAGTTTTTATCTGCTTAAAATTAAAATTTCAAACGAAAAAGATTATCATCGTGATTTCAGTAAAGAATCCAATCAATGATAGGTGTGTGTATTAGAAATTTTTTAATTTTTATTAAATTTGATGTTTGATTGATGTAAAATATAAGTTAAACTTTTTTCCCATTTTTATAAAACTTTCGAGACACAATTTTAGTGTTAAATTTTGTTGTACAACTTGTTAGGTAACCTACATCATTTTTTTATATCGCGAATTATTCCAGAAAACAAATAAACAAATTTAAAAGCTAAATAAAAAAGTTTGACAAAATGAAATAGTGCAATATAGTTCCATGCCGTAGATGTTTTAAATTAATTAGAGATGAGATGTTGATAGATTTTCATTGAGTCAAATTTACAGAAAAATTGTAACTTCCAATTGACAAAGATCAAAAAGAAATAATTACAACTAAGAAGATTCAAACTAGACAGAATAGCGAGAAAAGTAATGGAAATTGGTAAGTTAAGAAAAAGGTGAATATAAAGGCCCAGAAGGAAATGGATTCACTAGATTGAAGTGATAGGGGGAAAACATTGATAGACAACGGATTTCAATTCGACGCGACGCCTGAACAGACAGAAAAATACGAGAAAAAAAAAAAGGTGAAGTTACAAGGATTAAGGAATGGTTTAAAGGATAAATGTAGCAGGAGTAGTTCCAAAAATCTCATGGCAGCTCTCGATCCATGTATCGAGAAGTCACTTACTCTACAGTTACAATTTGAAATCTTCGGACATAAACTACATTGAGGAAATTTGTTTTATATTTAATTAATGTATTCCGAACGCCGATAAAATTAATATAAGCTAATACGAATAGGCTAATCATTATATTTCTCCTCCGTACTAGCAAACACATGACATATCTACTGATATTAAAAACAGTGACTCACATTTAAAACAAACATGGTGTGTAATTAGTAATTAATAATAAACCACGATATTTAATTAAGATGTAAGAAAAATAAATAATTTAACTCACAAAATGTCTCATAGGAAAACGTGTTGGCAGCCTGCTTACAAAGTACTAAGTATACTAAGAAAGATTTATCTTAAGGATCTCCATAAGCCTGTTCAATTTGATATAATATGTATCACTGACGTAACAAAATCTACGATAAAGTATTATTCTATAGAAATGATATTAAAATGAATTACAAAATATCTTTGCTTACTGAACCTTGATAAGTGTATAGTGATTGCGTGGGCAATACCACAATAATTTGCGCTGACAGAGGGCGCCAGACACGTTCTCGTAAAACTTAAATATAGATAATGTGTGTGATTAGTGATTGTAGACGGCGGATCTCAGACTGTCATCTCAGAGACGGACTTTTAATAAATATATGGTGAGATAAGTCTTAACAACGACACGAGCCTATTAGGTACTAATAGGGTATTTATTTTGTAGAAAAACTGAGAATACCTAAAAGAATAACGATAAATATTTCAAAATCGAATAATATACAAAATCTACAAGACAGGTTAATCATTCATGGAGATTGTATTTTACGCACCACAGTTTTCCTGGAGAAAAATTGATACGGATTTAAGTACCTCTGTGGCACTGTGGCCAATCTATGTGCCTGGATATCGTCGACTAAAGCAAAATATAAATTAGGTTAGTCATTAATCATGAACATGAGCATGAACATACGAGTATATGGGGTAGCAGTAAAGTAGAAAGAGATGTTATTCTAGAAAACTGAACTGAAATTATGTGTAACTTTGAAATAAAAAACATGGTGAAATACAGAATTATTAAAATATTTAAATACCAAAAGAAAAGAAATATATACCTTCTAAAAAAAAACGTACGTGAGGGAAAAATATAGAATAATAAAAAATATATAGGGTATCGAAAAAGGTAGCAACAAGATTTTTTTTTTAACACGAATTAATATGTAATTATGAAATTGTAGGAAGACGTATATGTCAAACTTATGTGTCGTCAGTGTTTAGCATATCGCCGCAATCTTGATTTTTTTAAATAAAACGTATGTTGTATAAGAGAAAAGCTTATTTTTTTTCATCACCCTACAATACCTTATTGCTAGAATTTTTCGCTACCCTTTATGTATAACATCAGAAAAAGTTATACAGCCCCTTTTATCATCCTACAATTTCATATTTAAATCGGTCTTTTGAGAAACAGCACATGTCAGTTGTAGATCATTTTTCAAAAAATAAGAAAAAAGTGAAAATCTCAAAACATGGTTAAAAAAATTAGTTTTGTATACTTAGCGTTTAAAACTTGATCTATTTCGGGTATAATACAATAATTATTTAAGCAAAAAATAAAAAGGTAACAAATCAAGGTTAATTAAAAATGAGTAACATGTGATGTTTCTGAAATGAACATAAAAACTTAGTAAAGAGGGATATAGTTTTATTATTATGTATTCTAAAATTCATCAAAGATTACAAAATAAAAAAATATTCATTGTTTTCATCGTTTTCATTTTCAGTTGCCGGTTAATTTAATATTTCGATATAAAAGTCATGGAGCTTATCGGGGACGCCCCTTTTGTCGTAAGGTTGTTTTCCTTTGACGAGTAACTTAGTTAAACGTCGAACTATTGCTATTCTAATTGCATGAATATTGATAAAAGCCTTCTTGCAAATAATAATTCGCCCAGAATAGGATGTTAAAAAGTATTTAAATAAGGGAGATTTCGGTTTGGGTCATTCCGAATTTCTAGACCTCCTAACTTTGACGTTATTGCAAGCCATCAATGCTTGTAAATAGGTATCCTGCTGATTTTTGGTTGTCAAGAGTCAAAATCTTTAAAGAATCTCTTGTCGGTCTCGCTCAGAACATCGGTTATAACACTTTTAACTTACACCTGTTTTCACCCTGTTGTTTTCGAGGAAACTAC